TCATCAACTTCCCCTGTTTGCACCAGGCACGCAAACATAAACAGATACTCAAGAGAGTATATGTTTAACAATTTAGCATCAAGAGTATATGTTTAACAATTTGTTAAATTTGTAGGTTTGTTGGTTAAATAGATAGATTTAAAAAAATGAAAGAGATTTGGTGATTAAAAAAAATGTAAATCCAAATCCTACAAACCAAACAGAGGAATGGATTTCAAATCAAATCCAAATCCTGCAAACCAAACACAGGAATGGATTTTAAATCCAATCCAATCCAAATCCCATGAAATCCAAATCCCTTCAGGAATCCAAATCCCTCAAAAACATTCCTGCAAACCAAACGCACCCTAAGGCTTTCGACTGGAAATCCCTAATAGTGATTAAGCAAACAGAAGCTTCACCAAATTACCATCTTTCCATGGGTAAACACACCTTATTTGCTTATACATATACATATGCCTGAACAACCTCATAAAAAGACCACTTGGTTCATCACAAAAGTAAGTCAAGAAAATTAAGTCAGTTTTTTTCTAGCTTTACATTAATGGGAACTTGTTCTTTTTCTAATTTGTTCACCTTCTTGGTTCTTTCACTTTTCTTTTTAAATCTGGACAAATTCCCGCGAAGTTCTTTTTGGAGTGTTCATCACCATTCGTCTTCAAGATTAGCACGATGAAAGCACATAACCGTACACACAAATATGAAAAACGACATGAATTCAATCAACATAGCTCCGGTGCTGATCAGATGGGCGTGCCTTAGGATAATAGGGATGGCTATGCTCCCTACTGCCGAAGCGCCGGTTAGGAATTTAGCAGCATCTATCCACCTGCCATAGAAAAGGATCATGAGTATTTAGGCATAGATACAAGTTTACTTTATAAATTAAGATAAATTGTTTTTTGTCCCGAATATATGGTCTGAATGACATATATTATGATTTTTACCATCAACAACGTATCATCAAATTTGATACTTTTAAAACAACATTTATAACTCAGCAACATATGATTAAATTTGATAATATGTGGATAAGATATTAAATAAAACAACAATAAAATATTTGACCAAAGAAAACTAGAAAAAGATGATAGCGAAAAGGATTTGCAAACATGGAAGAACCAACAAATGGGGAAAACGCGTTTTTGGAAAAAGATTGCTTGACCGGGTAAAGGCAACATTAGTTGGCTTGATATAATAAGTCCTGGGTTTAGCATTAAGCCATAATCAAACACTTGTGTATAACTTAACAGATTAACCTGTAGATTCATTAAGCCAATATCAAACACCGCGTAAGTGGCTTCTCAAACCATCGTATTTGGCTTTTTGTTGCAAACAAACAATTCATCATTCTTGTGAAATGCAAAATAAAATGTATGTTTTGGCAGGAATGAGCAAATTTCAACAAAAAGTGCATAAGTATAATGGTTTTGTTTGCATTTATGTTTCTAGAATTTCTCAAATGGCCGATCGTGCAAAGTTTAATGCATTTGGGTATTATTTCCACAAGAACAATAGTTGCTTTGTAACGCTGTAATGGTTCAAAAAGCTAATAGCTTGTACATAAACCAAACCAAACCAAACCAAGCCAAACGAGCCTAGTATATCCCAACCAGAGGTGGGACTGGGGCCCGGATGTGGGATATAACCAAACCTAACCTCTAGCCGAAAGAGTAAAATGGTTGTTTCCAAGGAGTCAACAAAGTAAGTGGTATTTGTGTGTTTGGTTGGTCGATAACAAACAATGGCAAAGGAAATGGAGCAAGTATAGAAAGCCACAGTACCCACTTAATAATTTAAAATAAAATCAAGGAAATTGTAACGACAATTATCAATTGTAAAAATTCAGAAGGTTTGAGAAGACAAATACGTACCCGCCACCATCCCGGCTGAGTAAATATTCAGTGGATCCACCACCAAAGAACATGCATGGCATAGGGACCAAAACATACATGAGAGCTGCAAAAAGATCATTAGCTCCACATCAACCTCTCTAAAATGCAAAACCAATATGTAAAAGTGCTAAATTGTGATACCCTCAGCCACCTGATAACATTGGCCACCAATTGCTGTATATTGCACAAGCCTGCAACCAGAATAAGAAAGGGAAAACAGTAAGTACACAGTAGAATAGGCCGATCTGCAGCCCAACCAATCCCACCCATATAGAGAGATATGGGAGAGAGAATGCTAGCAGAGAAGTTCTTAAACAAGCAGGATCTTCAACAACCAGCCTTAGAGCCAAGGTTAGCAATAGGGTGGGTTTCCATGGGTCCCAACTCACCCTGGCCCCGCATGGGGAAGATATGGGGTGCTAAGAAACAGAGGAGAGGGATATTAAAATGAATTTCTGAAACCAATGAATTTCTGAAACCACTTGGATTCAGAGGAGATATAGGTGTAGCTAAAAAACCTGTACCCAGCATGTACACATATATACCTCATAAACATTTCTAGCCTTTCTCCTTTTCATTTTCTAATTGGTTTTTAATTAAATATATCATAAAACATACATTTTACAATTCTAAATTCTATATTATCTATGCAAATGTGTGTTAAAAAGCGTTATACAATGTAGTCCCCAACAATTCAAAGCATATATGTCTGACCCACTGCCATCCTTACTCTCATCATTACCTTTGATGATTCCCATCATTACAAACCAAAGATAAACTATGCAAAACTGATTCATTCTATTTCATAGCATTTACAACTTAGAAAACCAAATGAGGTTTTGAACTTTTGATCTTAGATCTTGTGAAATGTGCATGAACTAGTCTCATTATTCAAATTATGCTATATTTTGTATCATCAGTCACAACTGAGTTCTGAACCAAGTGGAAGTAAAATTGCAAACTGTGATTCAAGCCACATACAGTTGCCAATATAATCAGTTGTTCCTTTATATTTGTAAAGTTGAAACTAATTTCAACTTTAGAAAGTAGGTCCCTGATTGTTTCATACAATTCATAGTAATAAATAAAGGACATTAAAAACCATTGAACCTACCACGATTTGCAGGAGGAAACTAGATGAAAACATGAGGGCAAGTCCAGCAAGCCTGAAAAAATGCTGGGTTAGATATCTGTGTCAAGCCAGAAAAGATTAAAAACACAATTCAGTCTTTAAGCTGTGGCTTACACTGCATGGGTACATCATGATCCAAGAGAGCAATAGTAGACATGCGCCAAAAAAGGAAGGGAAGTCAATATCAGGCAAAGTAAAGATGGCTGCAACCAAGAAATTTTGTCTATAAAAAGGGCAAAGCAAGTTCAATTTCGTCAGACCCATTTGCTTTATTTAGGGTTTAACCTCTTGAGTTTAGAGTTTAGACTTTAACAACGGCTCCCCAAACCATTTCACGTCCACACCATGTGTATGAAGTGACCCCCCCCCCCAAACCTCCCCACCTTTTCATTCTCTCTGCCTCTCTTCCAATCATTATATATTGAATAGTTAGGAACTAACAAGGTGAGGAGTTAAAAAAGAAGGAAGGGCTTAGTGTTGCCTTTCTGTGTAAAAAGGTTAATTCCATATTTTAGGTTTATATGGATAAACCAAACATGTAAATCAGATGACACATGATTCACTGAATTACATGGTTCACAAGTAATTTGATTCCTTGACTAAAGGATTAGTTTAGCAATGCCTTTTGAGGACCCAAATTAATTTCCTGAAAAATGAATGCATCACATAATTTTTTACAATTATTGCATGTTTACTTTTTCATTCATGCAAACCACACATAAGATTCATCCATTTCACTTGAAGGGAGCGGGTGCGGGTGCTTCTGCTCCTTAAGATCCCCGTATGGGTTACTCCAGGAGTGAAGTTCTTTAAGGGTCCAAATTACAAATACAAGGGATACAGAAGAGGTAATCTTCGACTTACATAAAAAATTAAAGAGTTGAGATTCACAAGCCAGAGATCTAGAATTAATGCCAAAGTTGTAAACTAACACCTGACATCTTGTGGTTGTGAGATAGAAAGAAAAAGGAGAAGAGGCAAAGGAGAGGTGAGAAAGTGCAAAAAGTTCTTGTTTAACAGGGTGCACCATGCGAAAGTAAAAGCATGATAGAACTCAAGCTTAAGTCTGTGCTTTAAGTGGTGTTGTATACGGTAGTAAGGTACACATTAGGGCTGTAAACGAACCGAATGAACACGAACAGAGGCTTGTTCATGTTCGTTCGTTTAGCTTAACCGAACAAACGAACGAACACGAACTGTAAACGAACGAAAATAATTGTGTTCGTTCGTTTAGAAATCAGGTGTGTTCGTGTTCGTTTATGTTCGTTCGTTAACATGCTAAACAAACGTAAATGAACGAACATAAATGAACGGGATAAACTTAACGTAAACGAACAGGCCTAAACGAACATAAGGTCTAAATGAACATAAACAAACGAACACCAATACTTGTCATTCAATAAACTATTACACACCAATTATCCATGGTTTAAACATACACAAAACAATCATCATTCATCAACCATCATTAATATACCAATACTTAAAAGGCCTTTTAAAATTTGAATTTAAACTAAATAAATAAAAGTTATATATTAAAATTAATATATAAACGAACGTAAATGAATGAACATTCACGAACATAAATGAACAAACGAGACTCTTTTTCATGTTTGTTCGTTTAACTAAACGAACAAAAAAAATTGTTCATGTTCGTTCATTTATTAAATAAACGAACATAAACGAACTTCCCGCCGAATGGTTCACGAACGGTTCACTGAATGTTCGGTTCGTTTACAGCACTAGTACACATCACACTGGCTAAACACATTATTGTTCATTGCTAATTTTGTTTTCTATATCACATTCCACAATTTGGTATAGGATAGGGAACAATCATCTGGACATTGCATATCCCTCTCCACTTTGTAAAGGTCATCGTAGTTGATACGATTAAGTGGCCAATGACTCTTTGTTGGTTAGTGTTCTTACTCTCTTAGTGAGTTGGGTGAGTGGATCAGTTGCCACTGTGTTAACTGAAGACCGTCTTATACCAAATTGTTGCATTATATACAAGAATACATTTAATACATAAACTACAAACATAACTATTTGTGTATACACATACATGTAAAAGCACCTCCATATCATTAAGATTTTAGAACCATGAATTATGTTATCCATGTATAGCACAATCGTATCCTTGCACCATATAAACAATTAGCAACAGTAATTTTGCATGCCTTTAGTCAAGTATAAGAATCAGCATGTTGATATTCTGACAAACATCGTTACTAGTGATGTGTGCACTCCACTATTAGCAAGTTCAGCATGATAAATATCTTTGCTTCAAAATGAGGAGTATCAAGGTGTTACCAAATACAAATAAGCATTGTAACAGAGCCAGTTGCACTATACATTACATAAAAGTTAAGGCATTAATTGCAATTCCTTAAAAGCTAGACAGTATATTTGACGAATTTCACAGCCCAAGCAAGATATAGTATAGTTCTATAGTCATTGACTTGATATTTACATGACGATGCCCATGTCAAAAACCAGGTACACCTTCGAGACATAGAGGCCGTCAGTTTGATATATCATTTAAAAAGAAAGGACGTCCTTATGTGCTATTGTCCTACAACAATATTAAGTTTGATGATATCTAGACAAAAAGACGGGCCACCAAGTGGCAGAAATAAGGGGATCATATAAACAATCTTACTCCAGTCAACTATATTCTATCCTTTTCTTGAAACCGAAGAACTATTTTCTATCTAGTTCTCAAAGTTTGACAAGCTGACATGGATCTGGATTCCTCATTTGTAGTACACACCCAAGCACATAAAACAACACCCGCCAAGTTGTTGACTCTAGGAATAACCAATGAAAGAATAGCCTTAACAAGATCTCAGATCTCCACCAACGGGATCTAAACAGCACTACTTACTCCATGAATTCCACCCTCACTCAATAACATTCATCAGCAATTCAGCATCTCTAATAGTCCAGAAAGGGAAACACAGGATGCTGACAGTCCGACCAAAAGCTATTGTGTTACTCATGTGATAAGCTTCCTGCTTGCATTGGACCCTGTTCTGTAGTTCATATCATCCTTCAAGATCAAGTGCACTCACTACACAATCTTCAGCTATCCAACCTATCAGTTTGAACTTTGACTCGACGAGTCAAAGTTAATTTGGCCAAGAACAACAGGAGAAAGAGACATCCGGAATAAAATGCAAGTCTTCACACAATAATTAAAAAAAATATCAGATACAGGTAATCTTAAACTGGTCTAAGAAATTATTGACCTATGGAAAAGCACCACTGGAGGATTATGTTACATGGCCGAGAAACTAATGACGAGAAAAGCAAGAGGTTCCAATTGCCTCATATTATCTCCATACAAAATGGCTGATATCTAGAACCTTCTCTTAATAAAGTATGAAATAACACATACTGATCAGATGCCAAGTTTTTATAATTTCTTGTATCAAAAATTAGCCTCGACTTGCCACTACCATGGTATGTTAAAAAAAGATATATATGAAGAAATTTGTATACCATCTCTGATGTTGGAAGAGTGTAGGGATAAGACTACCACATTAATCACTAGTAGATTGCAACAACTAATGTACCAAAGAAACTAAATGATGCATGATTCAGAATATCCAATATTAGAACTTTTCTTTCTCCAAGGACAAGTTAAAAGAAGAAGGAAAAAACTATAGTGGAAAAACTATATTAGAACTTTTCTTTCTCCAATGATGCATGTCTCACCACTCCCATCTCCCAACCATGTTTTTCCATATATTGAAACAACTAGACCCCATTTGTTTGTTATGCTCTCATTATGTGGCCTTTCTTTTACTCTGATACAAAATAAGTTCCAGTAAAGCCTAAAGACCTAATTTTAACATCCCTTAACTTCTGATAATCTGTATTCAGTTAACCCTAAGGAGCCCCCAGAAGTTAAACTCAGGAGTTCACAAAGTGCAACCCAGTTCATCAGACACAACGGTGTTACAAATAATGGCATAATTAACCATCATCCTTTCCATTCCAGAGATATAACTTCACTTTTCACCTCAAACTACTTTCCAAATGATATTTTGATATAATAATATTACAAATTATACACCTATATTTTCCTGTTTGTTGTACTTTTTAATGATCTTTAATGTGATAACCAAATATCTAGTCCAATAAATAAGTTAGAATTGATATCAATTTAAATCTGATATTAGCCCTTTTGCACATCAAAAATCAGGAGTACTAGAACTCAATTGCGAGAGTTACTCGCATAGCTTCTCAATAACAACATCATCCTACTACATGCTTCCCTAGTACCAAATTCTTTTAAATTAACAACAAACAAATTCTAGAATTAGCTGAAAAGAGCAACTACAAGTGAAAATCAGAAGTGGCTAACCTTCAACTGTCATCGCCATCTCCGTGAATTCTCAAGGGAGCGACGAATCAACGTTGCTGCGTGACCGTGAGCGTCCGTCTGATGAAATTGATATCTCCGACAGTAATCGACGGCGATGAACCAGAAGGAGACGCAATCAAGATTGAGCAAAGACGGGAGAAAAGGCTTCGCCAGCGAGGAGAGGAGGAGGATCCAGCAACGCGTTTGTTGCCGTTTCTCATCAATTTGCTTATTTGAGACCATAAACTGGAAACAACAGAAGTTAAGGGTCAGTTTTGTAATACCAACTTTATACAGGGTTCAAAATGTAAATACTCTCTCATCACTTTTCGCACATGATGTACAAGTATTTTTGCAGCATGTACAAGTTGTTAATGCATAACGGGGTACATAGTGTATTTCCAATTTTTCTTTTAATTTTATTTTCATAAACATAATTTTAGAAACAAAGCAAACAAATCAAATCAAATGAATATGTGATAACATATCGTCAAGTAATCAATAACCAAAAAAAAAAAAAACGAAGAAGGAATTGAACACGTCAAGTAGTCCCTCCATTCTATCTTACGGTAACACAGATGTATATGTAAACTCTCCAACTATACCCCAACTGCAGTGCCTAATAGAGTCCTACAGGTAATCAACTACCCTGATGTGTTGCTTCCAGAATATACTATATGAGGTCATATCTTCGAAAGTACTGAAGCCTCAATGTGAAGCATCAATTGCCCATCCTATGTCATCATCGAGTTGCCGCACATCATCACCCATTCGATGATGATGCTATAGACCCTTCGTATGGTGTCGTCTATAGTCTCCTATGAACGTATCCAGACCACCACGTATGTGCAAGTCATAGCGTTGTTAGAGAATAAACTCGTTTAATATCTTATCCAACATAGTTGTTCATCATTAAATTTTATCAAATGTACTTCATGTATTTAAAAGACCAATCAAATGTTGGATTGGTTGGTTGGTTGAGAGATTGAGGTGCACCTGTGCAATTAATTACATTTGGCATATTTAAGTGCATATGTGGTAAGAGTTAAGTTCCGATAAGAATGAAAGTTATGGTGAGAAAAGTAAGAAAAGATCTTCGCTCTTGAATCAATCTTAATTAAAGATCAATCCTAATTAAAGATCAGCACTAATGCAGTGCACCATGATGCATCGGATCAATTCCCGTGAAAAGCTCAATTCATGGGATGGGTGGTAGATTAAAAGTGACAAAGAGTCCAGATCCATTCTTACGTTTCTCATCTTAACTCTTATTCTCACATGATCCTTCGTCTATGTAGTAATATTTATTTAAAAAAAACATATAATATTCGTTACAATTGGTGAGACTGGTTGGACCATTATTTGTCATATAACACAAAGCTCAAACCACCAAATGCAACAAAAAAAAAACAAGTGAACTACGATAAAACCACAAACTGAGCATCATATTCTACTGTAAACGATAGTCCTCAAATTAAGGAAGTGAAATAGCAAGGGAAACATCAATCGAGACTCGCACCTTACTAAAAATTAATACTGTAATTTGAAAAATGGCAACTGAAAACCAAAATAATTATGATTAATAACATGTGACAAAAGACGGTTCATATTCTAGTTATTATACTCATGAATGGCATCCGACCCTTATAAATCAGTTGAAATATACCATTTGATAGAAGATCTAACACAAAAATTGTATGAAAAAGGAAAAAGAAAAAACTAAACCAGCTGTATCCGAATATAAATTATTTGCATCTTTATAGGCAGTTAAAGGTCTAAGAGCACAAATTCAAGGTTGACAACGCCCAAACATAGGTGTGATAGACATAACATAACTTTGCTTTAGTCATCCGTCAATGCACATATCATTGAAGATGACTTCATTTCTAACAAGTTAAATCAACTATTACAATGGTCGATTAATTTCCAAAACTTGTTAGATTATAGCTCCATTGCATCATGATTTAGATAATACTGGATATTCTAGTATCTTTATAATTATTTTTTTTTCTGTATTTTATATCAAAATGAGGATATTAAAAAAATGAGAACGTGAGAACACATCTCGGACGTCCGTTAAATTTAATCAAGAAGTTAAATTGACGATAACTTACTCTATTATTTATGTCTTGAAACATAATCACATAATTTGAATTAAATATATTAAACAAAAAATTAGCATTTTATTCTTTTTATTTTGACACCTAATATATGTATTTTCATTAATTTCACCAGATTTTAGAATTCTGGTTATGCAGCTTTATATGGAGCTTGACATGTAAGAGCATCTTCAACGAAATTTTCGAAATTAGACTTAAAATATCCAAAAAAAAAACCTACATTCAACTTTAACAAATTCTTCTTTTTGAATAATACAACATCTATTATATTATTGAGATATTTTTTTTATATATATATAGGAACGTTCAAATAAAAACCACCCAATTTGTACAAACCGTGAAAACCACATTCAACCAATTATAATTTTTCATTTTGTTCATTTTTTTTGTAATTATGAGAGGTTGATTAACCATTTTTATTGTGGAGGGTGTTAATCATGGATATTATCATCTTCATTATTTTAATTTTAGAGAAATA